GGTAAAAGATTTCTCCTTCCTTTGATCTCCTAATTTTTCTCCTGTGAAAGTGCAAAAGATTCCACATTCTTTCTCACCCATATCTCTAACTATGAATTTGTCAATCATTAGCTAGAGAAATCATGGGTTTGATTCTAAAATCAATTGTCATTTCTTCTTGGATTCTGCTTTCATATGTATTTATTCATGTCTTTTTCCTTTCACTAACAAAAGTTGTAAAGTGGAAAAATGATGGTTGTTGAATTACTGTCTTTAATATCACTTTATAAATGTTTGTATAGACTCATTATTTGTTTGGACTTTTGGGTCATTCTCTTGATAAACCATTTCATGTGTTTGTGTGTGAGCTTGCTTATGTAAAGAGTTGAAGTATGCGTATATATGCTTGTCTTCTATAGAAATTCGTTTTTGCTCTCTGTTTCTTCTCTCAATGATCTCTCTCGAAATTTCGTGTATAAACATTTCGTCTCGTTGACCTTGTAGATCATTCATAGTGGCCTCTGCTCTGCTCTGTGAGCAAAAAAATATCATATTTTAAATTAACAATGAGATCAGGTAAGTCCATCTTTCCAATATTTTTTTGGATCATAAAAAATAAAATGCAGAGCTTTGATCACATGCTTCTTGTTCAATCTAACCTATGATTTTTTTTTTTTTAAAATAAACAAGTGTACACCGAGTTGTTTTCTTTTCTTGTGTGCCTGCAGAAAACGATCAAGTGTTTCGAAACTCGATAGAGATTACCGAAGAAGAAGCTGAACTAAAGATTCCGAAAAACCGTGATAGTCTAGAGGATCTTCCGGTTTTCTATACGGACAAGAATGTAACGGCTTGCGAATTGCCTGAGATTGTAGTTAGTAACTACAAGGAGCTTACTTATAAAGTCGTCAAGGATATATGTGTCGATGAGAGTCTGCCTATGATGAAAGAGAAAGATTCTATCGAAGTAAATTCAAATCCTTTCGAATCCAAATCCTCAGAAGAGGGCAACAAGTTTGAAGAAGTTGTTGGTATTCAAGATTCTAGCAAACTCAATCAAGACAACTTGATTGTGACAAGAGAAGAAGTTAAGGTTGATTCTGAAGTTACTCATGAAGTTGGTTGCGAGAAATCGCCATCGAGGGATGTAGTAGTAGCTTCACCAGGAAGTGTCTCTAAGGAAACTTTAACCTTGGGAGATATTATATCAAGGGAAGATTCCTTAAAACCTTCCAACAACAATGGACCAGAGAAAACAGAGGAATCAAAAGCAAACAACTTGAGAGATCTTGATCATGGCAATTTCGAACCCGAGAATGAAAGACTGAACTATGTACTCGAGGACTCTTATGATCATCAACATCTCTTCTCAAGCAAATACGCAAATGGTTTCGAGGAAAGAAGTTTCTCTGAAGCAGAGCCAGGTTTAGCACATATAACTTACTCTGGACCAATATCAGTCTCCGGAAGCCTCTCTGTTGGATCTGATGGAAGCACAATTAGCACACACTCCTTCGCTTTCCCAATGTATATACATACACACACATACATTTATCAACTTCTTATCTACAAATTCTATAAAAAAAAAAAACTTTTTGTGAAAACTCTGTTACAGATTGCAATCGGAATGGAACAGTAGTCCGGCAAGAATGGCGAAACCCGAGAAGAGACCACTCGGGAAAAAGAAAGGATGGAGACATTACTCTCTTCTTCTATGTTGTAGATTCTGATGGATTCTAAATCTCTCACTATATAAGAGGGTTCTACTTTTAGGTTTTTATTCAATTTACAATATATTGGTAAATATTGAGTTCTGAGTGTGTTTTGTTTCCCTATTTCATGTGTTGCTTCAATCGCAAGGCACAAACCCTACATTTACCTTGTACAGGAAACTATCAACTCTTGATTTCTTCATTTGTATCTTTTTTTTTTTCTTGATTGGGTAAGTAGATAAAATGTTTTGAAGTTATATGGGCTTTTAAAGTTATAAGGCCCATTTGTTTGCAACTTGTTAAGGTACCTACAAACTGAATTTGTCGCATTCGTAAGTAAAGTCGGTCTAAGTTGCCACGTCATAACCTGATCCTCTTTTTTTTATCATAATAACGTGTAGTCCTAACTAATCGCCACGTATCATCTACCAATCGAACGGCTTGGATCTAATGTGGAGCCTATACATCGGACGGCTCTCATGGAAGCATGGTAAATGCATTGTTTTGTTTTTGACCTTTTTCAGTTTTTACTTGCAACTTTTGCGTCTTTAAGAAAAAAAGTTGAATCATATAATGTACACACACGACATTAGTGTAATTTTCTTAAAAAAAAAAAATATATACGGTTTAAACTAGTCTTATAAAAATTAATATAGTTGTAATTTTCAACTAATTTAGATGATCACGCACGATCTATAAAAATATCTATAATCTCAATTCTAAAATGACGAATATACAAAAGAATATAGAAATTAACATGGTTGATGAATAAAACGTTTTTTTAAATAAAATCAAAAGCTGACGTGTCACTGGTTAAAATGATTATAAACAAGCAATGGCCCATAGTTTTGTTTGAGAGTTTAAAAAGCGTCGTCGTTGTGAGATAGAGAGGCAAAGAGAGAGAGAAGGAGGCTAATGGATCACAGTGACTCACTGAGTCAGATTTTACCGATTCATTGCCTCCATTGAACCATCTCTTCTCAGATTCGCCGCTTCTTCACTGTCTTTGTCTCTCTCTCCGTGTTTGCTTATCTTACGAATTGATTCAAAAATCTTCCTCTGAAAAGGTTTCGCCTAAAGACTCGATTTTGATTTTCGGTGAGTTTTCTTCTTCTTCTTCGAATTGTTTGATTCTTCCTTTCGAATCTCATCGATTTGTGTTTGATAACCGTTATCAAAAGAACATCTTTAACCAACAACACTTGTTCGGAATTTCTGCCATCTTGTATCATTTCTAGGTTGTCTTGATTTTGCGTTTTTTTCTACAAGAATGGACCGATTATACTTACTTTCAAGCGATTATGTTAAAGTTTATCAAGAATGAAGATGTAGTAGTACTGTATGTAGAAACTGAGACAAAGAAGGTTGCTTTATACTAGAACTGTTATAAGATAAGCAGATTTTTCTGATCATATACTTGATCTTTATGCAGATTCATGGCTTACCTGATGTAGTGCCAGGGATAAAGTCTCCTTCTTGTTGAGCTCGTGTTGGATTTAAGACAAAAGGGGTTGGTTTGAGAAGATGGCAATGGCAGTCTTTAAGGCTCCTCTTAAAGGAGAGTTTCATGGGGGTAGAAAGATACAAGGGAAACAGTATAAGCATCATTTGCTTCAGCAACAGTCTTCAGGACGAAGACGTGTTTTCGTGCAGACCGAAACTGGCTGTGTTTTGGGTATGGAGTTGGATCGTAGTGATAATGTTCATACTGTTAAGAAAAGGCTTCAGATTGCATTTAACTTCCCCACAGAGGAAAGCTCATTAACATTTGGTGATATGGTGCTTAAGAATGATCTGAGTGCTGTGAGGAATGATTCTCCGCTTCTCCTAAAGCGTAACTTGATGCATAGAAGTTCGTCTACTCCTTGTCTTTCACCTACTGGGAATGATATTCAGAGAAAAGATCGAAGTGGTCCCATTGAGATACTTAGCCACTCGCTCTGTTTTTCGTCTTTGAAGCAAACGGCGAATGATATTGTTAAGGCGATGAAGATGGGTGTTGAACCAGTCCCTGTCAGTGGTGGGCTTGGAGGGGCATACTACTTTAGGAATGAAAATGGTCAAAGCGTTGCGATTGTAAAGCCTACAGATGAGGAACCTTTTGCTCCTAACAATCCGAAAGGCTTCATAGGAAAAGCGCTTGGACAGCCTGGTTTAAAGCCTTCTGTGCGGGTTGGGGAAACCGGGTATAGAGAAGTTGCGGCGTACCTTCTTGACTATGGTCACTTTGCTAATGTACCTCCCACTGCTCTTGTGAAAATAACACACTCTGTATTCAATGTCAACGATGGAGTAAACGGGAATAAATCTCGTGAGAAAAAAAAGCTGGTCAGCAGCAAGATTGCTTCGTTCCAGAAGTTTGTAGATCATGATTTTGATGCAAGTGATCACGGGACTTCAAGCTTCCCAGTTGCTTCTGTGCACCGCATCGGGATATTGGACATAAGGATTCTCAACACAGACCGTCATGGTGGAAACCTTTTGGTGAAGAAACTTGATGATGGTGTTGTTGGAAGGTTTGGTCAAGTGGAGCTTATTCCGATAGATCACGGTCTCTGCTTGCCAGAAACACTCGAAGATCCTTACTTCGAGTGGATTCATTGGCCTCAGGCTTCAATACCTTTCTCTGAAGAAGAACTTGAGTACATACAGAATCTTGATCCAGCGAAAGACTGTGACATGCTTCAAAGAGAGCTTCCAATGATCCGAGAGGCTTGTCTCAGAGTCTTAGTTCTCTGTACTGTTTTCCTTAAAGAAGCTGCTGCTTATGGACTTTGTCTTGCAGAGATAGGTGAGATGATGACTCGTGAATTCCGCGCTGGAGAAGAAGAGCCAAGTGAACTAGAAAGGTTGTGTATCGAAGCGCAGAGATCAGTGGCTGAACAACACTTTTTATCTCCCAAGTCAGATTTAGAAGTAGGGGCAGAGTTTATGTTTGATCTCGACTATAATGACCTAGGCTCAGTTTATGGCTCGAAGACACAAACAGATGAGTCCTTAGCCAAAAACCCATTCTCAACCGGACGTTCTTCACTCGGAAAGCTTGATGAAAGCATTGCGGAAGAAGAAGAAACCGAAGGACAGACAAGATTTGCTCTTTCTCCAAAGCTTTCAACATCAATGAAGAGCAACAACCCGAAACGTCAAAGAGACAACAAAACCGAGAAAACATTGTCGAGTCACAAGAGCGCGAACGTGCAGCTTCCGGTTAGCCCAAACTTTGTGAAGTTAGCAGACATGAAAGAAGTCGAATGGGTTGTGTTCTTGGAGAAGTTTCTAGAGTTGCTTGACTCAGCATTTGCAGAATGTAAGACCATGACGTTGAGGAACAGACAGAGACTTGGTACTTCGTGCCAGTTTTGAGAACATACCAAGTAAAAAAACTTAAGAAAAGAGTTCACATAGTAGAAAAAGATCAAAGGAGTTTACTTTTTAAGGGTTTTAGAGTAATTACTTGTTAACTACGTTAAAGATAATTTTTACTTTTGTGGCGACGACAAACACTTGCAATGTGAAGAATTTTTTTTTTTTTTTTAATCTCTGACTTGCTTTGTAAAAAATTTAACAATTTTTTGTTTTACTTGTTCTTGTCATCCTTTCTTTGCTTTTTATTTAGGGTCAATTTGGTTAATAACCAAAAAAAATTAAAATATAATAACTAACCAAAAACTCTAAA